CTTATCTATAGGAAACCGAACAATAATTCGGTGAACCCTAACACCACTTTGGTTAACTTATCGGGCTTCTCTGATTCAGACTTTGCAGGAGACAGAAATGATCGGAAATCAACAACAAGTAATCTGTTCCAGATAGCAGGCAACTCAATCTGCTGGCGGTCAGTAAAGCAACAATGTGTTTCAACCTCTACGGTTGAGGCTGAATACATTGCCCTTTCTACTACTGCAAAACAGCAAATATGGTTACAGAATGTACTGGCTGAACTCCATGTTGATATTCCATGTACTCTAAACGTTGATAATAACAGGTCAATTGATTTAACAAATAACCCGCGTATTAGCGATAAGAGCAAACACATTGATGTTGCCTACCACCATGTGCGGGATCTTGTGGAAACAGGCAAAATCAATCTTCTTCATGTACCAAGCACTGATAACTTAGCGGATATCGGTACGAAGCCACTTCGTTGTCCCCAGTTCCTTAACTTGAGGGATAAAATCTTTTATTCAAACTGATCAGCACTCTTTTTACCTTCTTTTTTCCCACAGGGTTTTTGGGTTGTTAACGAGACTGATCATGTTTGTCTTATTAGCAGCAGTATCTGCTGAGGAGGGGTGTTGAAAAGCACGTGTGTCACACATATCCGCTTATAGCGATGCCACATACGTAACTACAGCATATACCTGCTTTACATGAAGTCTTACGTTATGAAGATGTAACTACAGCATATACCTGCTTTATATGAAGTCTTACGTTATGAAGACGTTATGAAGACGTTATCCCTATTCATGTATATATAGTGTTAGGGAAACACCCTTCTAGGGGTAGACGAGTGTATAGAGAAATACCTATACACACACATATACGTTCATACATATTCCCACATATACATATCTGTATACATTACTCGCATATACGTGATACTCACGAACACTCGCATATACGTGATACTCACGAACACTCGCACACATACCTTACGTACATATCTCAGGTGAAGTGGACCTTCGTTGGCCATTCATCTATCCACCGTTGCTAGCGTTGCTACCCATAACCTTGTTACTTCAACAAATGGAAGTGCTTGATCGGGAATTCTTGGCGGGATGGAAGGGGTTTGGTGGTGACGGCAGAGCTCGTTCAAGATTCTTGGCGTGACGACATCTGTATATCTTCTTTCTACAATACCTATAATATCTAATATAGTTCCTTTATCTCTACGCCTTTCATAGAAATATATTGAGATCACGTATGCCTCATAGGTGTTTTGTGAGCCTCCTAAACCCTCCATAGCTCGAAATATTTAACCCACTATGGGTAATACTTTAATATTCGTAGGGACTAAAATGTTACATTTTCTGACTGGTTATGGAATAGTCATAATAGGAGAGATTCGAATCTCGTGCTTAGTTTTTACTTCTATGAAGTAGTATCTCTTTATGACGTAACTTCGGTGGGATCAGATTTCGAATTATCAGTAAGTATGTAGGTACATACCGTTTTCACATAAGCAGCTAACCTGGCGCGTGGTCAATAGAAGGAAAATACCTGTCCGCTGGGAAACAAACACACTCTACTAAAGCTATATGACAGAAAGCAACACTTCCCCACCCTGGCTGGGACTACAGCCAAAAAAAAGCCCTCTCCCGTAGCCTTAGACATAGTTTTTATTCTGTTCTAAAGTTACGAACTATATATTATCATCATGTTGCTACGACTTAAAACAGCATCCAAAATAATATATATATATTTAAGCCCAGCGCAGGACTCGAACCTGCGACCCCTCCCTGGCGCACATTGCAACGCCGCCCCTCAAACACCCTTTCCTTACAACTATCTATCCCATTTCCCTCATAACCGCCACTGTAGTTACTCCAATGCGACAAAGTACATGAGGGCAAGTTTATATGTGTATGTGTATATGTATGCTTGAATTCATGGATGAAGAACGGTGGAGAACTTGGGTCGGAAAGGTGAGGGCGGGTACATGGAGGAAGCAAGGAGAGGATGAATGAGGGGGATTTAGGCAGGGAGGTGCTCTACCAACTGAGCTAGCTGGGCTTAGAATAATAGAAAAAGTAAAAGGGCGCGCCATGACAACCCAGTCAAAGAACCGGACTAGCGTACCAACTCAATTAAGTACTAAAATTCAGAGCTCGCAAACACAGGCGCGGGTAGTCTGGCTTGCACTACTAGCCCCTCCTTACAGGCCAGACTAAGGCGCGGGCAACACTTGACACGAGGTTAGCCTCGAACCCCAGGCCGCTGTGTCCTTTGGTCATGTGATTGCGATGCTGCTTAGCTTAGTCAGTAGTGATTCAAAATTTGATTAGTTTGATTAGTGCTGTACCTCTCCGCGCTTCCAGTCTCTGAACGTTGGTTTGGTGTCAAGACATATTTGATTTAAACAACGGAAAAGCATCTCTGACTCATCCATCTCCAGAGGTCGTTGTGCCAACCAGACTAACTCATCCATCGTGTTGTGTCTTTTTGGAATCAACAACCTCGAACTTGAGCTAGATCGTGACACTTGCTCGAGCCCCTGCCACACCTGCCCATGTCCGCTGCAGACCCATATCGTACTATGGATACTAAAAGTGAGATACAGTTACAACTTGCTAAACCGGAACGCCTTTAACCGGAAAACTTGCTATTACGGACGATTTTGGAACTACAGCGCAAATTTTTATTGGCTATACCAGACAAATAGCAAACCGGAGCGGACAAGGAATCTCAAGAATAAAAAAATATATACATAGAAAATTAATTAGCAGAACCCGACGGGGGTATTTGAGATAGAGGAAGTTGGAACCCAGAAGTCCTTAAGTGATGCTTGAACCTTAGCGTGCTTGAGTTTGTATAATAGCATCATTAACTCGAACTGCATGAGCACGTTCAATCCACTCTGCCAACAATGCCTCAAATATTGGATAGACCGGTGCTCTCTTCTTCTTCTTATGTGCTCCATCCGCCGGTGGATTCTTCAAAATCTCATCTGAAATAGCTAATATATCACTCAGTGTAGACTTTGGGATTCCTTTGCCACTTGGATCTGGGAATAGAAGCCCGAATTCATCCAATTGCATCTTCTTCCCTGCCTTTACTTGTTTCTCCCACTCCAGACAGATCTCATATTTCTCTCTCAGAGAGAATGCCCGCTTAACATCCATCCTATAATATTATTAGCGACTTCCTTACACTGTCAGAACGTTATAGATCTTACTTATTAACTATAGAATTATGTCTGTGCCTTCCAATATGCTTCTTTCCTTTGATCTGCTCGTGTTGCGGTGTGATGAGGGTGCTCTTGTTGCCCCACCCGCAAAATTTTGTTATACTGGACGCTAGTCTAAACCTGACGGGATTCTAGGGATTTATGCAGTCCGGGTTTAGCAAGTTGTAACTGTAGACGAATCCTTGTAACCAGACTAGGCTTTCTTCCTCTAGCGGGCATCTTCCCCCCTACTACGAGAGGTAAGCCCCACATCATGACATCAATGACTCTTGCAGCCCTGGCTAGACTAGTGCCAATCGAAGGTTGATACTATCGCGGCACAGCGACGGAAAGGTGGAGGGGGTGGCGTTACTTACAAAATGTACACTGCTGGCCACGGCAAAATTTTTTCTCAGAGGTACCTACTGAACATAACTTCAAAGTAGTGTAAGTACTGCGATATACGGTATACCGGTAATATCTCACATACTTTACTTACATGTCTTCCCGTGATGATGCCCTACTACGGAGGGGTCATGCAACCAGACTAGACCCTGCCTAGTCAAGTCAGACAATATAGACTAAATCCCGTAACACCACAACCAAAGCCCAGCTAGCTCAGTTGGTAGAGCACCGCAAGTACAATACTCCCCTTCCTCTCGGGCCTCCCCTCATGTGATTCTGGAATTCTGTCGGTCTTGACCTCTTCATGAAGCGTACCAAGGTCGGTACGCTGGTATGTTATGTTGTTCCATCGCCGTAATGCGATGTCTTCTTGGTAGGGAAGGCGGCAGAGGGAGGGAAGGCGTTGCTATGTACGTCGTTGTGGGGTCGCAGGTTCGAGTCCTGCGCTGGGCAATATTTTTTTTGGCCTTACTCTATAGAATTTCTCGCAGCTTCAGTTATCATGCAATACCATGCCAACATGCAGTCTCTCTACCTTACACCCGCCACTCCATATATCGCGTTATCTGAGAATGAAGCCCCGGATTGAAAAATAGGTACATCTCGCTAATACTAATTCTGTGCCTCACTTCCACCTTCAATGATTCCACCTCTTCATCGGAATCAACTGTAGGTTCATTTACTACATAGTTTGGTAAGCCACGTATGTGGAGCTTATGATCCTGACTGCCATTAGGAGTGAGAGAAATACCTGTGTGCTCAAATGCCTTAATACTGTCCTGTTTTTCCGAATGTAACCATCCCAAGCACATCCAATTATAGCAATACAGCGTGCTTCAATTGAATTATCATAATCTCTTCACGTCAGAAGGCACTCGTTCTGCTAAAATATCATCCAACAAATCTGCTACATTATCCTTCAGAAGTTAATAATAGTATCACCTGTCCAGGATGCCACAATTGCTTCCTCTTACTTCGTAGCATTTTCTAGGATGACCCTATCTCTTTACACTCCCAGGCACTACCTACAGGTACAATGTCACATGTATCCTCACCCACCTGCTTCAGCTCATATAACATACTCAATGCCCGCAACTTAAACTCTCTAGTGTAGGACTTCCGCGTTTTTCTAGGTGTTGATCGCAATTTGTTCAGGGAGTTCATGCTTCGAGTTGTAACACTGTGGCTTTGGCTTTGGCTTTGTGACCAGGTCGGACTTTAGGCAGTTCTGATGTCATCTTGAATTAGCGACTATGAGATTAGAAACCCTCGGAATACTTCATGATCTTCTGAATTCTCCCTCCGTCCTGGTACCGTGTCCGTTGTGAGACAGCTGTAGTTTTGGGCTGCATCAGTGTGGTTGGGAGGTTATCATTCTCAGATAACGCCCAGCTCAGTTGGTAAAGCACTGCAGTACAAGACCCCGTCCTTCATGTGTACAGTACATTCCAAGATAGGGAGGACACGGCGAGAGGACACAAGGGGGAGGGTGGTTGCGGGATCGCAGGTTCAAATCCTGCATTGGGCGAGATATTTTTTGGTTTAGAATGTACTGTGCATATGTACTTATGACCACCAATCTATGTACATTCTGTGAAATATGAGCATGGAGAGATTGTTCTGGTAAGGATGGTGTCGGTTGCTAGATAGTTAAGAAAGATGTTGCAGACCACTAAAGCTATACGACAATTAATGGAAGAGCTTCATATCCCTCCAGTATATATTCCTGAAGGATGCACAAAATATGTTCAGACACTTAATACTATCCTTAATAAGCTCATGAAGGATAGAATTGTAGCTGATTTGAATGAGGTTCTTGAGGAATGCGGTAGCACGAGCAGGAGAAAATTATGAGGACAGCATTGGCATGCGACATACTGCAATCACCCATGCTGTAGCACGAGCTTGGAAGTGATTACAACAGGAGAAACAAGCGAGCATAACTAAGTCTTTTGAGCAAGCCGGTATATCTCTACCTCCAGATGGCAAGCAAGATCACAAACTCCAAATTCGTGGCCTTCCATTAGATGCTACAGGGGCTGATACACTGGGGTTTCACACCACTGCAACCTGACATGCTAACCTAGGCAGAGCTAGTATTAGTTCCTTGTGTACATACATATGTACAAATGAAATAGCAACCCGACAGGGAGTCTTCTGCATTTTTGCGGTATCCTGTTAAAAGTTCTCAAGGAGAAATGATGGTAGGTACCAGATGATACTATAGAACATCACCTATTACAAAGTTACCCTGGATTCATTCGACATAATACTGGCCCTCCCTAGTGACGAGTCTGGTTGTCTACACATCCCCTGACTCGACTTCTACCTACTCAGTCTCTCACCTGAATAGCTACTTATTCTTATTCATAAAAGCCACCAAACAGCACTTACACTCTCATGCTCACCACTCTTAATTAAAATAAGTAATAATAATCTCACCCAAAAGAAATTCCAACTACAAACGCCAACGAAAGCACCTCATTCCCACCACCACCACCACCACCACCACCACCCCCACCCCATGCATCCAACAAATCCACAAATGATGCAGCACCTCAAACTACAACCTCAGTGATACTGCACATTGCACAAACGTATGCCCTAAGTAACAAGTAATGCTCATCATGCCCATATACAAATTCCACTATAAAAAAAGAAAAACACCATGATCTTTGATTGGCAAAGGGATGAAAATTCTGGCCGTGGACCAAAAAAGTGTACCAAGTCCTTCTATCTTCTGCTGACCGCAAATCCACAACCTTTCATTCGGAGCTCAACGAGAGACAAGCATCGACCGCAAGTCCAACTCTATATACATCCTCAATTAGCGCTCAGCATATGATAGAGAATAAGGTCAAACCTACCTCCCCTCCTTCTGCACCACCACGTCACTAATCAAATCCTTGTCCAGGCCTGGGAACATACTCTTCAAGATCCCAACTACATTCTCATGTTCCGCCCTCTGAATCCTCAATGCCTCCGCCGCCTCAGCACTAGCCTGTCTAGCCGCCGCCTCTTCCGCATACCTTCCTCCCCCCCCCCCCTCGTGGTGCACTTCTCCCCTCTGACGCAGGGGATCGGTCTCGTGACGTCTCTCCCCTAGGAGTATCCACTTCCGACGCCCCCGGCCCTGTTGCCTCGCCAAAAATCCTTCCAATAGTACTCAACGGCTTCTGTATTGTTCGTAGCAATCCCGCCACAGCAGCAGTAGGGTCATCCGGGTCGTTATTGCTGTTATTGTTGGACTTAATATTACTATTACTATAGTTACTACTACTAGAAGTAGTTGGTAATGGTATCTTTTCATGGATTGGTCGAGGGCTGACAGATCGCATTTGACCTCCACTGCTACCCTCCCCAACAGCTCCATCGAAGTACTGTCGCCCCGGCCTTCGGAAGGATCTCTCATTATCAGTCTCTGGGGCACCGGGAAGTGGTGCTGGTTTTTCCGCAATGGCAGCCACAGCCGCTTCCACATTCTTCTCAAACTCTGCGTCTGTGATGGTGAGACTAGAGCGGTCAAGAGATTCTATAAACTGTATAGCACCCATCTACACGGAAATGAAAAAGGAGTCCATTAGCCACGGGTCAATTTTGAGTGTGGCGGCACAGGCGGGACTCACTAATGATGAAAGGTAATACCCCGCCTCCCCACCCAGTTTATCTGGATTTCGGAATCTCAAAATATACTGTACGTTGCTGACCAGATGCTCTGGATTCGCCCTTAAAACAACATAAATGAGCAACGGGACGAAACAGTCCGCAGATGTATCTCCATCAGCAGCATGCCGTAATAACCCTATATCACCATTATCCGTTAGCAACCCAATCCTCTCTGATACACCTAGAAACTGGGTACAATCAACCCACCAAAAATAACTTTGCAGCAATTCAATACGCAGATAACTTTATCCCGGGGTGCTCTATAAGTCTTTATTTTCTCCAATTCCTGCATCGCCAATGTCAAGAACTTGCGCCCACTTTCTCCTACCGGCTTAATATCTAAGTGCTCCTCCCGCACCCAGCCATATATCCTAACCTTCTGTGCCAAAACCTCATCCCTCTCCACATCCTCTTGATGCTGCCCTCGCCGGCCTGTCATCTGCATATCCCGACCTCTACTCCGTCTTCCCACCGGTGTAGGTGGATTCGGCGGCGGTATAGCCGGAGAAAACGTCTGTGAATATAGCCTATTCATGACCAATTTCTCCATCCCCTCTTTTGCATTATCGAACTCCTGATCGGATACCTCACGCCATACTTCACATAATCCCATTTTTCCAGTGATAAAGCCGAGAAAGTCATGTATTATCTTGACTTGCTCGTGCACCATCCACTGTTTCTTTGAAAATTCAGACAAAAATGAGCGGAGGTACTTGGCTACGGGATCTGCCGTTCGATGTCGTAGTTGCTCCAAGAATCGGTGAAAATCAAATGGAAGATCAGGATCTAATTCTGGAGGAGGAGGTTTGTGTAATGTTGGTTGATTCACTATTGGTGCCGTTGAGGGCTCCTTCCCAGGCCCTGGTGGTGATGGGACATCCCCGGGTGTAGGTAACAGCTTCTCAGTAGATACTCGGGGCGACTGTTTCCCATCGTTCAAGCTATGGTTCGTAGAGGTTCTAGATAGTGTATGTGATGAGTTTTGAGACAGTGTTCTTGCCAATGGGGGTGATGGCAAAGCTTTTAGTCCCTCAAGTGAGGATGTTCGTGCTGGATGTGCTGCTGCACTAACATTGAAGGAATGTGTTCGGCTCATGACCACCGGGGAAGTTGGGTTAGAGTAATGTGCTGAAGCCCCCCCTGCTGAATGCCCCTCATGCCCTGGTTCAAATTGGTCCAATATGCAGTGTATCTCGGATTGTGCATCCTCATCATCCGATGCCTCATTCTTAGACCTCTGTTTTGGAGAACCTGTTGATTCGTTGAGCCCAGGCTGGAGGGGCGATTTCTTTGGGGGTGTCCCAGCGACTGAGGAGGGTGCACTTGGAAGAGGTGTCATAGGAGTCGTATCCAGGTACACTCGATCCTTAGGGGGCGGAGGAGGTGGCGGTGATGAAAGTGCCCGTTCCTTCCCTTCGGACTGACCCCACTCTTGCTTGTGTTCCCCGTCTAGACTCTCTTCTTTTTCAGCAATGGTTACAGGCACTTTTCCTGGTGCAAATGAATCTGGATTAGCTGGTCCAACTGACAGAGCGGCAAGTCCAGCTGATAAAGCAGGGGTAGAATCTGCAGTTGCTGCCGAATCGTTCGGTGTCTCGATTCCGTCATCCGTTGTCGAGCCACCACCCTGTAGCTCTCCCCATTCCGTCTCCGAATCCTCCTTCTGTTGCGTAATCGGAGGAAGCTCCTTCATGATGTCCAGTACTGGGATCTTCGGCATGTCGTTCTTGAGTGAGATTGCTGCATCTCTTGGCGGGCCTTGAATATCAATTGTCGACGTTGTCGACGTCGTATATATTGGAGGCAGTGGCTTCGTTATTTCCCTATCCATCAAGGAAGATGATGGTTCGTTGACTGATGGCGTATCCTTTGCTGTAGCCCCACCTTCGGTATTTCTAGTGTTTTGATAGTCTGAATCAGCCATGACCGCCTAGCTATATTTTACCCCTTTCTAAAAGCAACAGAAATCAAAATCAGAAAAGCCAGAGTTCCTTGAGACACGCCCTGCGTCTCGTTCCGCTAGGAAAGCTTAACCCCACCAAAATCCCCCGCCTCAACTCTTCCCGTTCACTACTCAGAGGCTCGACAGATCCCTGGATGGGTCCGGCACGTGTTGATTACCAAAGTGACGGCTTTGTGACCCTCTTTCGGGGATGCTGTGAAAAGGTATGACGGAAACTGTATTTGAAAGTCTTGTGGAGCATTAGAAGACAGTATTTTGGTATCATTGCATGAGAGCCATCACCTTTACAGCAAGATTATGCAGGGGTAAGCAGTTATAGCACGCAGGTTGCTACCGATAGCGAAAGAACCTCGGATAAGTAGTCAGACTTCGTGAAGGAACCTTTAAGAATGGCTCCTAGAGTTGCAAATCTAAATCCGGGCGAGAGTTGTACTAGGGAAATTCCCCGCGAGAGGACTCTTCTCTCAGCATCACATTCCAATGCTGCCGAGGCCGAGGGGTGTGTGCATCATTTCCAGATATGCTTGGCGATGACACTGGCATCACCCAATCTCATCTACATACCTAGTCTGGCAGGCACTGCCTCTCTACGCCCGCCAGAGTGCTACATACCTACGCTGCACTCTACGAGGGGTAATGCAACCAGACTACGTTGCAGCTTGATACAAGTACTTAGTACGTATGTATAAATGATATTTCTCGATCATGATCATTTGCTGTGCTCAAGATGAGGTAACCCTTCAATGTACTCTACACCTGGGCTCAGAAGGTATGGGTACCGGTGAGTGATATCAAGACAGCCAGCATGTTAGCAAAACCTCCCCTAATGATTGTGTAAAGTATGCTCATGATGGACACCGAAACCCGAACTCCCATTGCCATTGCTATTGCCCCAAGGA